AGTATTTGTCTTTCTCTGTCTGGCTTCAAACAACAAAATATTTTATTCTTTCATAGGTCTTTGTTTATCTCTATCTCTATCCTCTCTATCTCTATCTCTGTCTCTGTCTATTTCTATATCTCTAATAAATTTTTCTCACAACCATGCTCTAGGGAAGAACTCTAAAACAGAGACTTAGAGAAAGTAACAGAGAAGATAAGTAAATACTGGGTTTTCCATAGTCATTGGTGGACACCGGATCCCACCCCAGCTTTAGCTGTCTGTGGGGAAGAACCACTATCCACTGTGCTCTGATTTACTGCATGTCTAGATGACTCAGTGTGAACAGAGGGCTAAAAACCAATCAGATGGCATCTTTGATTAGTCAGAGATCTTGATTACAAACAACAAAAATGGGCTTTGGTTAGTTGGGACACAATAGCAACTTATCGGAAGGTATATTAGGAGAGGCTTATGGTCTCTGCCAACTATGTGAAAACTTCAGAGCTTAAGGAAATAAAAGTTTGCTTCTTGACAAATGCAGGTCAAGGAGAGGGTCTCTGCTCCCTGCAGTGACTCAGGGCTCCAGGTCCTTCCATTTTGTGGGTCTTCTCTCTCTTAACTTTAGAGCACTGTACTGTTTCCTCTACATCGAGCAGGTAGATGCAGTGTGGGGACAGGGCAGGGGACTTACACAGAGGTTCTACGTGTCAGGTCTGGAAGCAGCTTACATCATCTCCACCATACTCCATGGCTATTAGAATTGATCTAAACTGCCTCCATCTGTGTGGCATTTGCTCTCAGATGGGAGTAATAGACATTCATATTCCTGAACACGGCACTCAGGAGTCCCAGCTGCTAGGATTCTGAGAGATTCATCCCACAAATATTTAACAAGACAGACAGAGACCCCTGCAGTTGCTACTGCTAGCTTATTTGTCAAATACAAAATGAACTTTTTTTTTTTTCACTAGAATCTGGTGTTTAGATCCAAAAGATGTATTTGAAATGTACATTTAAAATATTGTTACTTTGGACCAACCGAGTGGCTCAGTTGGTTAAGAGCGCGTGCTCTGAGCAACAGGGTAGCCGGTTCAATTCCCACATGGGCCTGTGAGCTGCGCTGCCAACAGGTGGCAGGATGGCTCAGCTGGTGAGAGCACGTGCTCCTAACAACAAGGTTTCTGGTTCGCCTCCGGCATGGGATGGTGGGCTATGCCTACCCGCAACTAAGATTGAACATGGCACCTTGAGCTGAGCGGCCGCGAGCTGCCAACGGACGGCCAGATGGCGACTGGACTTGGAGCTGAGCTAACTGCGCCCTCCACAACTAAGATTGAAGGACAACAACTTGGCTATTCCCCTTCCCCAATTCCCCAACACTGTTCCTCTTCCCCAAAAAAAATCTTTAAAAAAAAATTGTTACTTTTTCTTTTTTTTGTTTAAAGACTTTAAGTTCTTAAAACCTGCAAAAACAAGAATTCAAACAATTATTCCACAAATCAGTGAAATCATATGGTTCTCAACTTTTTCTGTCTGACTTATTTTGCTTAGCATAATAATCTTAAAATCCATTTATGTTGTTGCAAAAGGCACTATTTCATCTTTTTTATGGCAGAATAGTATTCCATTTGTGTATATATACCACATCTTCTTTATCCATCTATCGAAGGACACTTTGGTTGTTTCCACATCTTGGCCACCATAAACAAAGCTGCAGTGAACATCAGAGCACATATATCTTTACGGGTAATTGTTTTCAGATTTTTTTGGTAAATACCCAGGAGAGGGATTGCTGGGTCATATGGTAATTCTATTTTTGGTGAACACACAATGATATATAGATGGTGTATTACAGAATTGTACAGCTGAAACCTATGTAACTTTACTAACAATTGTCACCCCAATAAACTTTAATTAAAAAAATAAAATAAATAGAAAAAAGAATTCAAAAAATTATTATATGGTACTTTGCAACTTAATGTTTCAACAGGACTTATGGCATTTCCCATCCTGCGAATGTCTGAAATTCTATATTTCATTAAGGTCAGTATAAACTAAAGGTAGAGGAAAAGCTGACTTGTTGGGGATTCAGTATTGTTCGTGTCTTACAGAAACAGATTTGAAAGCATACGTCACAGCTTTGATGGCTATTTTTTGTTTGACTCTTGGAGGCAAATTTTATTTATGGAAGAATTTTGTTAGTTTCTTTTTTTAAAAGATTTTTATTGGGGAATTGGGGGGATAGGAACAGTGCTGGGAAATTGGGGGAAGGGGAACAGACAAGTTGCTGTCGTTTTGTTCTTCAGTCTAGTTGTGGAGGACGTTGCTTCACTGGCCCAAGTTGGCACCATCATTGCGCTCTTCCCGGGCGAGGCAGATCAGTCGCCGGCTTCTGGACGGCCCCTCACGGCGGCTGCTGGCCGCTCACACTGGCTGCTAGCTACATGCTGGCTAAATAGCCCATGGCAACCCACTGCCACAGGGGCTGCAGCCTACGCTGTCGCCGGTGACTCACAGCAGCCCAGCTCCAGGTCAAGCTGTTGTTCAGCATCTTGGCTGTGGAGGGCAGTGTCACTGGCCCTCATATGTGGGATCCGAACCGGGGCCCTCTGGTGTCCCAAGCCAATTCTTAACCATCGCGCCACTCGGCCAGCCCTTATTTTCTTTATTTTTTAAGTATTTTTTTATTGGGGATTATTGGGGAACAGTGTGTTTCTCCAGGATCCATCAGCTCCAAGTCAAATCGTTGTTTCAATCTGGTTGCAGGGGGCACAGCCCACCATCCCATGTGGGAGTCGAACTGGCAACCTTCTTGTTCAGAGCACATGCTCTAACCAACTGAGCCATCCGGCCACCCACCGGCAGCTCAGAGGCAGCTCAGCTCAAGTCATCTTCAATCTAGTTGTGGAGGGTGCAGCTCACTGGCCCATGTAGGAATCGAACTGACAACCTTGTTGTTCAGAGCACGTGCTCTAACCAACTGAGCTATCTGGCCACCCTTGTTATTTTCTCAGAATCACGAATTCTTACATAGGAATGGATAAAACCAACACCCAAACCAAAAGACCTCCATAAGCTTATCTCAAAAATGTCTCCTCAAAACTTGCAAAAAGTTAACAGACCAATTATAAGAAAAGATCTGAACAGCTGACGATCTGAAAATTAATCAAGGGCTGTTGTTTTTAAATTTTAAACTATCCATTTTCCCTATGCAATGATTGGGAATGACAAAGCAGGTGAAGGGAGCAGGGACACCCCCTCTGGACACCATGGAAAGGATGATAAAGAAAAAGGAGTTCACATTGGATCCTGGACTGGTCCTTCCCTTATACGGCCTTGGCCTAGTTACTTAATTTGATTTCTTCTGGGCCTTAATTTCTTCTTCCATAAAAGGGGGATAGCAAACCAAACTCGCAAGCTTGCTATGAGGATTCAATGAGACCATGGATGTACTGCAGCAGTTACACTGCCTAGCATATAGAAAGTTTTCAATAAAGAGTTTTCTTTCACGCAATCTGCTTGTGCAGATGTGTGATGGAAGGGGCAAGTGAAGATTTTATAAGTTGTCAACCACTGGAGAGTATCCCCCTGTGAAATATCTATCACTGACAAGGGCCATTTCACGGAAATCAGAAAATCAGCTAAAAGGCCATTCACTTCCCAGGTGAAGCATTTTGTGTTTTCAGAGAGAAGACCAAGGACAGGAACAGTAAGTGATACGAAAGAACAGCCTGGGAGGAATAAGGGAATCTGTCTTATATCTAATTTTTGCTTTGGAGTAGCCAGCCATTGGGAAGCCACAGCATGTTAATATTTGTGCCAGGTAATGGAAAACTGTAACAAACGAGACTTGTACTGGTGGAGGGTGATTAATAAAAGTATGAGCACTTGACCATGATTAAGATACACCATTTTAGGATAGGTGTATTTTCTGCCTCCCAAGATGGAATTCAGTTTTATAACAATTAGTACCTTTTTTTTACATTATTACCTTTTAAAAATTGTGGATATATATATAATAAAATATAATAAAATTTGCCATTTTAACACCTTTTCGGTATACAGTTCAGTGGCATTACTTACATTCACAAAGTTGTGCAATTGTCACCACTATCTATTACCCAAACTTTTAAATCACTCCAAAAAACTCTGTACCCATAAGCAATAACTAACTCTACATTCTCCCCTCCTCCCAGCCCCCAGTAACTTCTAATCTACTTTCTGTCTCTATGGATTTGCATACTCTACATATTTTATATAAATGGAGTCATACAATATTTGTTCCTTTGTGGTTGGCTTATGCCACTTAGTGTAATGTTTTCACGGTTCATCCATGTGGTAGAATGTAGCAACTTCATTGCTTTTTATGGCTGAGTAATATTCCACTGTATGGATACGGCCATGATTTGTTCATCCACTCATCTGTGGATGGACACTTGGGTTGTTTCCCCCTTTGGCCATTGTGAATAATGTTGAAAAGAACATTGATGTAGAGGTATTTTTTCAAGTTCTTGCTTTCAATTCGTTTGGGTTTGTGCCTCGGGGTAGAATTTCGGGGTCATGTCATAACGCTATGTTTAGCTTTTTGCTCTTATTACCTTTTTATATTATAAAAGTCTTATAGCCATGTAACTCTTTGCAAATTAGTTAATTCGCTTGACTCATAGTTTCTGAAAATGGTGACAATAATATTTACCTCATGGGGTTGTTATAAAGATTAATAATAATGTGTCTAAAACACATCAATCTATAATTGTGAAGACATAGAACTTGTTTATTTCCTGAATGGCTCCAGAAAACTATGACCCACCGTCAGTTCAACTGCCATGTACCCAGCCCCCTTCAGCCTCACTCTAACACTTCACTTTGTCAACACCTATATTCCTACCTCAGGTCCCACCGCAGTTATCACTCAGTTTCTTGTTTTTAAAAAAATTCTCAATTATGGGAATGCATTTTTAATAGACTTTATTTTTTAGAGCAGTTTTAGGTTCACAACAAAATGGAGCAGAAGACACAGAGTTCCTATGTACCCCCTTCTCACCACCACCACACATGCACAGCCTCCCCTATAACCAACGTCCCCCACCAGACTCGGACATTTATTACAATCGAAGAACCTACATTGACACCTCATTATCATTCAAAGTCCATATAATCCTTTGTAAAGGGCCTAATTTTACACAGCAAGTAAAAGTGCTGAGGCTAGAATATAGATTTCTAGATCAAAACCCCAGAACCCATAATCAAAACCCCAAGTTATTAATAGCCAGAACACCTTCAACTCACGTCTCAGGAAAAAAAAATAAAAAACACCCTTTTAATGAGGGTCTTACCTCCTCCTTTCCCAACAAAAATTATAGATTCTTTCCCAGGAGAACAAGTCAACCTCTTCATCCCCTCCCCTAATAAATCTCACTACAGATCGCAATATTTCCAGACCTTTTCCTTGTTATAATCCTGGGTCAGTGAACACCATTTTTTCCCAAACCCGTCCGAATCATCAGTACATTCCCAGTAGATCATGCGTCTGTACCAGAAGGGAAACACACATTTTGCGAGGTCTACAGAGAAGGAAGAAGCAATCAGAACGAGAAATCTTTGTAATTTGTACTGTCTCTTATACACACACACACACACACACACACACACACACACACACACACGTTTCGCATCCTGCTCTATTCCACCAAAAACATATGGCAACAGTATTGGTGGGGAATTGACTTCTTTTCAAGGTAACGCGGTTGAAGCTCTCATAATACATCTTTGGTACAATGTGATGTTCATACCGTCAGAGAACGTACACTTCACAGAACTTATTTTCACAATTAAATAGACTGTATATTCCATTTTCAGAACCATCTTGAGGATCTCACCAAACCTCAGCTCCAGCGACCAAGATTACCTGCCACTTTGACGCCGTCAGAGGCAAGACACTCACCTTCTTCAGAGCAATACTTCCAATATCCTTCGTAAGTATCATTTAACGAGCACCACTTGTGTTTTGCCTTGAACTTGATGCAGTCATAGAACACTTGGTTTTTATAGTAGAATGGAAAGAAACACTTGCCATCTAGAGAAAACAAAAATGCTTCCTCCATCTCTGGGACTGTTGGTTGAGATATTACAAAGATACTTTCCTCCAAGTTTCACTCTGAAATCCAAGCCACCACCTAGGGTTCCACTGAACGTTATGGAGTCACACAATAGCAGAGCTGTTGGGTCTCTACTAATAAAGGTTTTGTGTTTTATACTCTTATTCCTGTTCCACTTTTTTCCTGTGTCATAAATAGTCAAAATTTTACTTAGCATTTTGCTCTCATTTCAAAAATCTACCCTAAGCTTTGAAACCTAATGTGGGCATTTATCTACTAAACAATTTTTCCTCCCCTATCTTCTCTTTTCTTCACCCTCTTCCACCATCACACACACACACACACACACACACACACACACACACACACACTATATATATATATATATATATATATATATATATCACTTTTCTCCATGCTCACATGGATATCTCTATCTGTCGACCTATCTCTTTATACAGATAGTGTATATCTCCATCCATTGCCCATACAACATATATAACCATATAACATACATATAACCATAAATAACTTATATGTATACACATGTACACACACACAGATTTTTTCTCCCTCCCAAAATGAATCATACTTTCTATCCAAAACTTCAGTTTCTAACTTAACATATCATAGAAATCCTTTTAAATGTATCCTTTGAACTTTTGTCACGCTTAACTCCTTTCTAACATTGAGCCATATTCCTATGCTATGAATGTTGCCACAATTTAGTCAATCTTTCTCATATTCAGATTTTTTCCATCTGTAAATAAAAACATTTAATGTATGTAAATCCTTCTGTACTGAAGCATTTGTCTCTAGAGAATAGAATCCCAAAAGCAAGGTTATTAGGTTAAAGTGTATATGAATTTTTAACTTTGATGGGTAGTACTTTCTCAAAGGACAATAGAAATTCATCTTTCCCACCAATGTGCTCTTTTACCTGAATTCTCACTAGCATGATACATTTATATGCTTTAAAATGTTTACCTTTATAACAGATGATTTCTATCTTGTTTGAAAAGATCTCCTGATCCTTATGGCATATCTATATTTTTCTACATTTTCTTCTTGAGTGATTTTGTTTCTTTTACTTTTAACATTTGATTAAAGAGGAATTTAGTTTTTTTTTGTTTTTTGTTTTGTTTTTAAAGATTTTTATTGGGGAATTGGGGGGATGGAAACAGTGCAGGGAATTGGGGGAAGGGGAACAGACAAGTTGCTGTCGTTTTGTTCTTCAGCCTAGTTGTGGAGGACGTTGCTTCACTGGCCCAAGTTGGCACCATCATTGTGCTCTTCCCAGGTGAGGCACATCAGTCGTCGGCTTCTGGACTGCCGTTTACTGCGGCTGCTGGCTGCTCACGCTGGCTGCTAGCTACACACGGTAGCCCATGGCAACCCACTGCCACAGGGGCTGCAGCCTACGCCGCCGCCGGCGACTCAGGGCAGCCCAGCTCCAGGTTGAGCTGTTATTCAGCATCTTAGCTGCAGAGAGCAGTGTCATTGGCCCTCATATGTGGGATCCGAACCGGGGCCCACTGGCGTCCCAAGCCACCTCTTAACCATCGCACCACTCGGCCGGCCCAAGAGGAATTTAGTTTTACATAAGATGCAAGAAGGGAGTAATTTTCTTATGTAAAAGTAGCTTTTACATAATGGCAAATTGCTGACAAAAGAAACCACCTGTACCTTTAAAACCATGTATAGATTCTAATGCTATATCCTGAGATTCAGTCTATATTTTCTATTGAGTTTACTGAAATTCTTGGAGAGGTAAGATACAAGTAGATGGTGGTAAAATGATCAGAGCCTGGAGACGGCAAGCATCAGAAAGTATTATTTATTATTATTTGACTCTTTCTAGTCTGATACCACACTATTTATATTACTATATTTATGGTTTGTTTAAACATCCAGGAACACAAGGTGCTTCTCCACCCCAGCACTATTTTTGTTCATAATATTTCTAATTACTATTTTTCTATGAATTTTAAAATCAGGTATTCTCTATTAGGTTGTCAGAAATTACAGAGTGGAACCATACAGTGCCAGGGGAAGTACAGGGTGACTTCTATTTCTCATTTTTCTTTGTCCCTTTATAAGGCACTTATATTACATTTTATGAAAGGAGAAAAAAGAATTTTTCTTGTTTTACCAGAAGAAGAAAACACACTGATTTTCCCATTTCTACAAAATGAAAATAAAATGTACTCTGACAGTAAAAGTCTTATGATCAACTTACCTTTGACTTCTGGAAAGTAATTCATAGATTCTGAAAAATAAAATTTGGAGCTAACATTTATTTTACTATTCTTATGTCTTCCAACCAAGAACATGGCATGATCTTCTCTTTTTTAGAAACTGCTTTACGAATATGTTCTTCAGGATGATTTTATTATTTACTTTACATAAGTTCTGCACATTTCTTGTTGATTTAACACCAGTGTTTTGTTATTGGTGTAAAGTACAGTGCTTCATTTTTCGTCACTGTCTAGTTGGTTCTTACCAGTATGAAGAAAATCTATTGACGGTTGTATGTCTGTCTTATATCCAGCCACATAGCCAGATTCTTTTATTAAAACTAGTAATCTTTACTAGTGTTCCTACGGGTTTTAAAGTATACGATCATAAGATAATTTTGCCTGTTATTTTCTATAAACTTATGGGATTATTTACTTTTTGCAATACCACATATGTTCAAACACCCCAGCCCAACAATTTTCGCTAGTACAAAAGACACCTATGTACTTTCTTGGTTTTAGTTGGAATGACATTCAGGTAAAGAATGTTCATTTTAGCATGGTTAATAGTAGTAAAAAATATATACATATAAATCAATCCAAAAATGTCAATCACTAAGGGAATTTAAAAATAAATTATAGCTTTATAATATCATACAGGCATTAACAAAGATGAGATAAATAGACATGGAACATTTTTGTATTTCATCTTTAGGTGACAAAATGGCATTTTATATTTCATTATGTTCCATAAGACTATTTTGGCAAAAAGAAAACTACAATCGTATATAATGAAATATTTGATCACTCAAAAATAGTAGCATTAAAATTTACAGTAAAATTATGATTGTTCTCTTCTTTTTTCTTAACAATTTTTAACATAGAACATACTTTTTCTTCTATACAAGGATGTAAAATAGTAATTTTTCATGAAAAATATGATTTCTTACCAGGAAAAGAAGTATAGCATTCAACGACCTTGCATTTTATTGCAAATTTTAAAAAGAAACTCTAATAAAAGAGTTTTGATCAACTCACCTACAGTTGGTATAGAAACATCTGAAAGACACAATTTTAAACAAATATTTATTTCACTAGAGTTAGCCCTTGAAATAGAATAAAATATTTTACCAAATTATAGTCTAGTAATAATAATAATAATAATAATAATAATATTTTGAAGGTGATGCATCCAAATTTCAATAGTGCTTCTTTTTAGTAGATGATTGTGGGTGATTTCTATATTTTTCTTTTGCCTTAACTGTATTTTCCAAACATTGTTAATGAATAGGAAAAATTAAATTTTTTTTTTTAAAGATTTTTTTTTATTGGGGAATTGGGGGATGGGAACAGTGCTGGGGAATTGGGGGAAGGGGAACAGA